GCTGAACACGTGAACAGAACAGAACCAGATCTTAAATGATGATGACATAAAAAGTGTTGTGCCTAAAACACTATCAAGTCTTTTGAACTGGTTGTTCCTTTATACATTTAGCTAACATATATTCAGTGTTTATCTCATGCATTCTTCAAAGCACTTTGCATAAAAGGAAATGATTTAGTCCTTCTAAGAGCTCTCTCAGATGGAAGCACTGTTATTGTTTTGTAGCTGAGAAAATGAGACAAGGGAAAATCATGTGGCCTGCCTAAAACCACAGAGCAGAAAGCAAGAGGGTAACTGGGATTTGCACCTAACCTAATGGCTTTGTAGAACTGGGCTCCCAACAACTAACATAAATGCTACTTAGTATTCATAGTAAACTCAACAAGTATCAGCTGAAGGATTGTACTTAACAAACAATACTCTCTTTGAAAAATGAGTAACCACTTAAATTTAGAAATGACATTTTAATAATTACAATGATGGAATATTACTTTCCTGTCTACATAAATTTCAGTCCCACTTCTCTCTTCTATAGGTTGGTAGTTGCACTTTACAAGATTTTTATTTAAAAAAAATCATTTTAAATCAACTTGAATTTTAAAAAGAGGAGATATCAAGTTCATAATCTGTCGCTTACTTTTTCATGAATAAGTTACTTGCCTCTTTGTTAACTTTATCCAGAAAGGAGATAAGCTTCTTAGTGTGTCCCTGGACAGACCATATGCCTAAGCTTTTTTTTTTTTTTTCATATGCCTAAGCTTTTGCTTTATTTTTCTTTTTTAGAAAAATATAATAGATTTGATAGTAAATTGAAGATAGTACTATGATGTATTCAGAATGCAAAGAAATAAAAAAATAATACATATAGCTTTATGTTGGTCATGTACTAAATATTACCTAATAAATTGAGTTGTAAGTCTTTGAAAGGAAAGTTAAAAGTAATCACAAAGCTCAAATAGCTTTCTTACTTGCAGGTAATGTAGATAACCACCAAATACAAATATAAACACATATAATTTATATATATCCTCTACCTTCTTCCAATTTCATCAATTTTAAACTTTGTTCTCGGTTATTCTGAACTTTTTAAAAATATGCCTAGATTCCAGAGTTGTCAGATAGTTCTAGGAATATCTCAGAGAATCCATTATGATCCTGCCATTGTGCAAATGTGAAAACCGAAGCTCTATAATGACATAGCCAAAGTTAGAGGATTAGTGTTAAACCTCTGAAAAAGGTTATGAATCTATAAAATCTATAAAAACATATAATACCTTGCTTTTTGAGATTTTCTGGCTCTGCCCCATCCCCTACTTTGATGTGGGTCTTCTCTTCCTTTCATCTGTTCCCAGCCTACTCAATTTTGATACCACTCCCAGTGCTGTGTCTGTTAATGCTTTGTTTTGTGGGGTGTTTGAAAATGAATTGCTGAAATGGAAGGGGATTATGTTGTACCCAGTTTGAGAGTTCAGTGTCAACTGCCTCAACCCCACAGAACTTACCACAGAGCCCTGCACCCACTCATTCCATAAGTGAGTGAAACCCCTCCAGTTTTAGCTGCCATTATCAAATCACCTGACTGCATATTCCAGGGAATATCTATTGGCTCTTTCATGATTCTCATGTCTTCTCCTTTATAGACATAAATAACACAAAGGTCTTGTGGTTGTTGGTGGTCCCTAATTGCTTGTATACTGGCTTTTGTAGTGATGCGTTTTCACTTCATTTTGCTATCTATGTTTTCTGTGACTTACTGACTTTGCAAACTAGGTGTTCTGACTGTCTTGATGTGAGACCTTGGGAAAATCCAGCAACTACTACTCCGCCATCACCACCATCACCACTATCATGTTTCCATAATTCTCTTGCTTTTATATACTTTGTTTAAAAGTATATTGAATTAGCATTTAGAATTTATATACCATTAAGGTCACCTATATTAAGTTTATAATTTTATGGCTTTAGTGTATTTACATAGTTGTGCAACAACTGCCATAAAAAATGTAGACTATTTTCATCATCCAATGCAGAAATGCCAATAGTCATTAGTAGTCACTCCCACCCCTTTTCCCTTCAGTCCTAAGCAACCACTAATATACTTTCTCTCTCTCTCTCTCTCTCTCTCTATATATATATATATATATATATATATATATATATATATATCTGCTGTTGTGTATATTTCATATAAATTGTTTCATATAATATATGGTCTTCTGTTATCAGCAGTATGTGACAGAGAAATAAATAGGAAGTAATGTTTTAAGTTCTTCACCTCAAATAGAAAACAGCAATAATTCCATGATAGACTTTATGCCAATGTTGGTTACCTAGTACAGAGAGTGGGCAAGTGAAGGAGGGAGGGGGGCAGGGGCAGAAGGACAGGGAAGAGAGAGAATCCCAAGCAGACTCCTGCTGAGCATGGAGCCCAGTCTCATAAGCCTGAGATCATAGTCTGAGCTGAGACCATCACCTGAGCTGAAATCAAGAGTTGGATGCCTAACCAATGGAGCCATCCAGGTGCCCCCCAAGACTCCTTGTTGGTTTGTTGTTCTTTTTTTTTTTTTTTTTTTTTTATTTTTTTTTAAAATTTTTATTTATTTATTTATTTACAACAGTCATACAGAGAGAGAGAGAGGGTTGCAGAGACACAGGCAGAGGGAGAAGCAGGCTCCATGCACCGGGAGCCCGACGTGGGATTCGATCCCGGGTCTCCAGGATCGCGCCCTGGGCCAAAGGCAGGCGCCAAACCGCTGCGCCACCCAGGGATCCCTGTTTGTTGTTCTTTTTTTAAGATTTATTTTATTTATTTTAGAGAGAGCATAAGTAGGGGGAGGGGAAAAGGGAGGGAAGCAGATTCCCTGCTGGATGGGGAGCTTGATCTCACCACCCTGAAATCATGACCTGAGCTGAAATTAAGAGTCAGACACTTAACCTACTGAGCCACCCAGATGCCCCAAGACTCCTTGTTCTTGACCACTGTTCTGTAGTGCCTCTCTGATTTTTAGGTGTTTAATTAAATGCCATTTACTTCCAAATTGGTGATAGTGCCAAGGAGCTTAAGGTAACATATTCTGAGTAATACTAATATTTTATTAGCATATAGTACAAAACTAAGGAGACAAAATAATCATTTTCTTTTAGTTCCATAGATATTCTTTCACACTTTCTCATAATGTTTTTTTTCCTCTTTCTATCCTAACAAAAACATAATTTTAAAACCCTTATTATTTATAGCAGATTGGGCTTTAACTGCTTTTTAATAAAGCAATGGTTGGGCAGCCTGGGTGGCTCAGCAGTTTAGCGTCGTGTTCGGCCCAGGATGTGATACTAGAGACTCGGGATCGGGTCCCACATTGGGCTCCCTGCATGGAGCCTGCTTCTCCCTCTGCCTGTGTCTCTGCCTCTCTCTCTCTGTCTCTCATGAATAAATAAATAAAATATTTAAATAATAATAATAATAAAGCAATAGTTACTTTGTCCTAAAACATATTTGTTACACAACTGTCCGTATTTAATACAATTGGCCTCTTTATTTTGAGGACACAGAAAGAACTATAGCCCCCAAATGTAGTTTATCACTAAACATAAGACATTAAAGTATTTCTCAGTAAGCGGAGCATTGGATTGAGCTGAGAAAAATTAACTAGAATCATGTAAATTCTCACAGGACTTTACAGGAATAGAGGGAAAAAAACAGTGCAAACTTCTCTACGAAACTGGCAAAGTTGGAATAATAACTCTCGGATTTCTTCTGTCCTGAATCAACCCGTCTAATAATCATTCTGCCTCCCTTAGGAGGAAAGGAATCTCTCTTGTTTAATAAAAGCTTCTTTCTTTCTAAAATCTTAGAAAAAAGTTTTGAAGATATTTTTAAAGTTGTCAGAATCATTTATAGATTGAACTAACTATAACAGAAGTTTAGCTTATTACTAGGAAGATGACTAGCAAAGAACCAAAGGAGCACATTCTTCTAGAATAAGCACATATCTTCTAAGATAAATTTTCATGATTATATGTTTATAACCTCATTTTCTGTTATCCAGTACTCTCTCCCAAACATCTCCAAGCCCAAATACCATCCCTCTCCTGACATGGATACTTAGAGCTCTGTGCTCCCTAGATCACCTGGGATCTTTGAAGTAGCCTTACTCATAAAAGAGCCGATGCCGTAACATCACCAAATACCAAACTTTTGGCATTTTGAAATGCCTCAGTGAAATGATACTTTAGTGTAAGAGCAATAATAAAATTAAACAGCACTTAACTTTAGCTTCCTATTTCAGGATCTTGCTCTGAGTGAATCTGTGTAGAATTCATTGGCAGTGTATGTCACATGGCACTATTTTGGAAAATCAAATGGAATAGTGCCTCCAAAAGAACTTTGCCAGTTGTGAAACTGTACAAGGATATTTATAATTATTTTTGACATTTTCTTGGTAGTTTTGTAAAGAGAATCTAAGTAGAGTTAAACTTCACACTTTTGGAAGTGAGATAAATGATAGCAAAACTTTTCAAGTTGCTGTTCACTTGCTGTAGTAGCATAAATACCCAAAGTCTTGCTCTCAACTCAAGTTCTGCTTGAATTACACCTGGTTGAATTTATTTCTCATATATCCACTAAGTGACAGCTTTCAAACATTTTTTATTTACTGGCTCACTTTAAGTTACTTTAGATAAACTTATGTAAATATTAGGCATACACTTAATTCATGTTGAAAAATAGTGCAAAGGAAAAAAGTGCAAAGAAGAACACTTCTACATGTTAGAAAAGGGATCGTCTGGAACAAAGGAAGGAATTAAATGTTTGTGCACTTGTGGGAGGGAGAAGCTATTCTCTCTTAACATGTAAGTTCAACAATTACGGAATGATGGCTTCCAACTTATTTTTATGGAGGTACCAAATATGTAACAGCAGAACATTTTGTAAATGAGAAGTAAAGATAAAATGGCTAGAGTATGAAAACTGTTCCAAGTAGAAGAGATTTCCAGAAACTTACCAGTCATGCAGTTTTTAAATTCAATGTGATCAATTGCAGCTCCTCCTCCTAGATCTCTTGTTCTGATACCTTGGAATATGACTTCAAAATTCCTTAGCTTTCCTAGCAGGATGACAGCCTTTTGCCAATGACCACTGGAGTTCTGCTCACTCTCTTGCCATACTCTTGAAAGTCCTTTTTCTGTCTGAAGGTAACAAGTGTGTATTAGAGTAAACACAAAAGAAAAAAAATCAATCATTTAGAACAGAGGCATTTTATTAGTGAAAACTGATTAAAAAACAAACAGTGGAACTCCAACAATATCAATGCTATACCTGATCTCATCAAAGCAAAGAAGGCATGTTAATTTACTACAGTGCTTCTTACAAGAAGTACTGATAAATCTGTTTTGGTGTTTTCAGAGACACCACTATTTAAAAAGGGCTCTATCCAGGTCATTCTATCTCTCCTTCGCATGAACGCAAAATTCTCGATATCTTAAGGGATCTTAACATTTTACAGAAGCCCTGGTTTGTGGCTCTGGATGCTCCCTCAACCTTCTATTCACATTCTGTAATTATTTAGATTGTATCTTCCATCAAAGAGTGGGTATAATTTCCATAGGGAAAGAGAAAAAAAGGATTGAAGGAGGAATACGTGGGAGAGTTCTCTATTCCTGATGGATACAACAAAGGGATTGTGAAGTGAGCCATGGTGGCAAAGTGATGCTTTCTAAGATTAGTAAGATTTCAAAAATTCTGTTATTCTGTTAATTTGGGTATTTAAAAATTATATTATAATATGATTGCTATATGAGAATCAACTACAACTGTGTCTGTATCACATTCTTCAGTTGTAAAGGAAAAATTAACTTCCTAAAAAAACTTATATAAGTATCCCCTCTGAAGGTTTAAGCTTGGTTGTCATTGTTCTTTGCGTTTCTGGTCCCTGGTCATCCTGAGAATTAGATGTTTTAATAAATCATGATGATAGTGGACACATTACAAAGAAAGAGAATAAATAAACCATATATTTGCTATATATAACATTATAAATAAATATATATACTTGCTATATATATTATACACGTACATATATGTTAATGGTTATGGTTAGCCCCAAATACTTAATATTTCAGGGTCCACTATTTTGTTTTCATAACAAATTAACATCAACAACAACGAATAAAACCTTTGTGTCTGAAGTTTGTAATAAAACTTGTGGAATTGAGGGGAATACTGAGGGGAATGGCAGCCAGAAAATCAAGCAAGCTGTTCCAATAGATTTATGGCATGCAACTGTGAAATACATAATTTATAGGTACTTTTAAATATAAGCTGAAGAAAAAGGAGAAATAATTTTAAAAGGGATCCAAAGGAGTAACATTTCCATAGATCTCTGCTTTTTGGGCACTAATGTTGATAAATAAGGCTGACACATTGTTCTTCTGAGGAAGACCCAGTCCAGGAGTTCTTCCTTAGCTGAATTACAGAGAAAGTGGGGCCACCTATCAGTTAATCCAAAATTAACTTTGCAAAACAACTAATGGTGTCTAGACAGATTTCTGAACATCCTTTCAAAAAAAAAAAAAAAAGATAAATCTTTATACCCGGAGACTCATGTAACTTTTGCCTTGAAGGGAATGGGAAATTCACGCCTACTTAATGGAATATCATATTTTTTTGATGACTGAAGAAGAGAGGCCTTTTTCAAGGTTAATCTTTGACTGTCATAATGTTGTAGTGATGTGGAATCAAAGGAATGATTATTTAAAGATTAAAGTAGAGAGACCTGTCTGACACATAGCAACATAACAAGGCATGGATATTGATAAAGTCTGTCTCAATTTACAGACTTAATTCACTTTGCTAATATTTTCTATTAATCTACTTCTGAAGTTTCTAGAGCCACTCATTAACTATGACAAATCCCCATAGGGTTTTCAACAAATACCATCACAGAAGGTTGTGTGATCACTTTAATCAATAACATAAAAACCATTTCTTCAATCTTACAACTGACCTTCTAGTGAAAAAGATATTTGAATAACATATCCATTATCATTTTATGTAGTAAGAAAAGAAAACAAGGGTGGATTCTTTTGAAAACCAATCATGGATCAACCAAATGGCACTTTACTATAGAATATCATTCTAATATATTTGCTATCATTCCTCACAATTATCAAAATTATATGTATCCAAATGTAAAATGGAAGTTTATTTGCTTACTGGCTTATCATTCATCCATTCATTTATTCTGCAAATATTTTATGTTCACATGCACTATGTTAGATACCAGGAATAAAAAGGTGGAAAAAAAGAGATTAACTTGTGGAGAAAGTCATAAAAATAAATTACTAGAAAAGTTATATACAGATTTTATTTATTTTCTGGTATGTATTAATATATATCAGAACAATTTTTTAGAACAGTAATAATATATCAATCTAATTTGTGCTCCACATACATTGCATTTTATTTACTTAATATTCTGATTCTTTCCAAATTGGGAAAAAAAAAAAAAACAAAAACCCTCTTACTTTCAACTCATGATTCGGCCACTGGCCAAGGATATATCTCTTGCATTCATTCATATGGATTTTAAATTCAACACCCCAAAATAAACATATGAAAAGTGATTGGCCACAATAGTAAAAATAGACATAATATAATAATTAAATTATAGAAATTGAAGGAATACTCTCTTCTCATAATTCAGTCATTTACCCAACTTTGAACTGATTTCCCATGTATATGTTATATATATTGACCATTTTTTTCATACTGCATATTTGTTTTGGCAATGTATTTGCCTCATACTGTATGTTAAAGTTTCTCTTTAGTGTCATGAAAAGAGAAGCAGTAAGAAATACTAAAACTCTGTCCCCATTCCCCAAAAACAAAGGCTGAGCAGAGCCTAGACTTCAACCCAAATCAGGTCCAGTGGCCCCAAGACCCCTCCTTCCAAGACTTTTTCAAGTAAAGGAAAACTATGAGAATTTGTCACCAGTAGACATACCTTAAATGAATGTCTAAAGGAGTTTCTTTAAGCATAAAGGAGATGATAAAAGAATGAATCTTAGAATATAATGAACAAAAAACACAGCTAAAATATTAGTAAATATAATAAACGTTTCTTATTCTCTTGAATTTTGTTATTTTGATGGTTGAGTAAAAATTAAAATATCATCTAAAATGGTTCTCAATTTATATAAAGGAAGTAATTAAGGCATAAATATTATAAGTGCAAAAGACCGAAGACTTGGGGATCCCTGGGTGGCGCAGTGGTTTGGCGCCTGCCTTTGGCTCAGGGCGCGATCCTGGAGACCCGGGATCAAATCCCACGTCGGGCTCCCGGTGCATGGAGCCTGCTTCTCCCTCTGCCTGTGTCTCTGCCTCTCTCTCTCTCTCTCTCTCTCTGACTATCATAAATAAATTAAAAAAAATTAAAAAAAAATTATAAAATCTTAAAATATAAAAGTCGGGACCAAAGAACAGAGAAAGTTATTACAAATAATCCAGAGTCAAAAATATAGAAAATATTAACATAATCAGTTCTTAGGGCAGAAAAGAAAGAAGGACAGAAGGAAAGAATAGAAGTAACTTTGCCATGAGAGCATGGTAAATGGCTTACCTAGTGATGGGGAAGAAATTAATAAGGATAAATGAGCACAAGTATATACTTTAAGTTAAAGACCAAAACCAGCCTAAAAAACAATAATAATAAAATGTAGACTTAAAAAAATGAGAAAAAATAGCTACAATGTCTTACCATGGCAGCAATAGAAATATAAAAAGGTTAAATACCAAAAACTTAACTATAAAAATAATTCCAAAAAGTTCAATAGGAAAATGACAAGGCAGAAAAAAATGTGTAAGAGATATTTACAAATAATTTATGTAAGAAGAAACTTTAAAGATCAAATGGCTTATAAGGAGATGCTCAGGCTCTGTGGAAGTTAGATAAATGGAGTATGAAGTGGCAAAACATGATGAGTACACCTTGTAGAATGTTTTGCAGCAATGGGATATAATCAACTGGATGCATATATTAAAACAAAGATGTATCTTTAATATACAGATAGAAGAGAAAAAAATAGTAAAATGAAAGTTAAAACATTCAAAAAGAGCAGCACATATATTATAGAATGCATACAACTAAGCATATATATTAAAATGGTTGTGGAGGGAAAGAGTTATTAGAAATGAAGATAAAAATTAATATAGATACAAAATGAAAGACAAGACACACTTGAAACAATAGCACACATAAAATAAATTAAAAAATTGGTAAAACCTATGGGTTTTTTAAAATATAATTATATTGTCCCTGGCTAATGTGCTGGACTCTAGATAGTTTTATTAAATTTTCAATACATAGGATTTATAATTAGAGAATTATATTGTCTTTTTTTTAGACTTTAATTTATCTCTACATCCAATGTGGGGATCAAACTCACAACTCCAAGACCAAGAGTTGCATGCTTTCTAACTGAGCCAGCCAGGCACCCCACCCCCATTTTGTTTTCTTATTACATGGCTTTTATTTAATCCTTGGCAATATTTATTCTTTTTTTCTTTTTATGTTATTCTTACACTGTCTTGAACTTTCAGAACACTGTCAAACAATGGGCACTGTTTGGCAAACAGTGCTCGTTTCTTTTCTTTCCTTCTTTCTTTTTAAAGATTTTATATATTCATTCACAGAAGACAGAGAGAGAGAGGCAGAGACATAGGCAGAGGAAGAAGCAGGCTCCCTGCAGGAAACCCGATACAGGACTGGATCCCAGAACCTGAGCCAAAGGCAGATGCTCAACCACTGAACCACCCAGGTATCCCACAGTGGTTGTTTTGGGCAACTTTTAAGGGAAATAAAACCTAACACAAAATATTCAACCTATAAGCATTTTAGAGGTATAATGTGAAAATTTCAATGCAATTAACATCTTAAATACACATTCATAACTTAATCATTCTCCTGGTTTCCTGCTGGAGGGTAAACAACCAGTGGAGTCAAGGAAAGGAGTGGTCTGCCTGTGGAAGTTAGATGTATCTTCCCCATGCCCCATGAGGTCATTGAGTAGACCGTAGAAGGGGTTTTTTATGGGCCATTATTCACACTGCAATTATAATAAACAGCTGTCTATCTATATGAGCTGGTATGGGCCTGGTAAGTACCAGGAAAAATCACTCACTATTAAAG